CTCCTTCCGGGGCGCGGCGGGGTGGCAGTGTTACTCGGCGACTCGGCCACACCGCGTCCCGAAGCTGGAGCCCCTGGGGACAGCCAACGTACTCTCCCTGGGAACCAGAAGTCCAAGGTCTTAGCGCAGCGGAGAACACTAGCCTCAGAAGCGCGTTCTGTGAAAGGAGCCACTAATCTCAGAACCGGAGTCCTCCGAGGTTCCTTCCCTCTAGGCGGAGCCCAGGCAGGGTGCACGTGCTCGGCGCCCGCAGCAGCTCTAGCTGGGGGGGGGGGCGCTGCTGGGAAACGGCGACTTGGGGGCCGGGGCCGCCCCCTAACGCAGCCGGTTCCGAAAGCCGCGTGGCGCGCGCGGAGCTCCCTGCACCCTGACTCCGCTGCCTGCGACTGCTCGCGAGTGTCCGCGCCTGGTCAGGGGCACCTGTTACTGGGGGGGGGGGTGCTCGCCGATCCGCGGTGGGGAGCTGAACAGAGACACCTCGGTGTAGGAGGGATTTCGCTTAAACAGGGCCTCTGGACGCCCATTTTAAGTCGATAAAAAAGCCGAGTGGAATGTTTTGATTGAGTCTCAACATTGTCTTTGAATAAGGCTGAGACCATGTAATTAATGTGTCTTTTTAATAAGAGACAATACGGCCGTTCAAGCTATTTAATTTCATTTAATTTTCCATCCCATTTGCTGCACAGCCCGCTTTTACTTTTTAACACCCAGCCTTTCATGGCCCATCTTGCTCCACTGGGCACATTAGATTGGTTTCACCCTTGCTTTTTAGAGGAGGAAAAATAAAAGAAAATGTGTTCCTTTCCTCCTTTGTGGACAATTTATTTCACTTGGGGAACTTCAACTCTGAGCCACAGGACAGAATAAAACTCGCCGAGCTGGTGTGAATGCCTCTGGCGCTGTCTCTTTCTTCTAGCTGAGCTGGGAACCAGCCACAATTGGCTATATTAATAAATAACTTTCCTCACAGTCGGCCTTTACATGGTCCTATTGATAAAATTGTTCGCGTGTCGTTCACGCTTTTTCACTCATTAAGGAGGGCCAGGGAGGCGCCCCGAACCCAGGCCCTACGCTCGCCCCTTCCCGCTCACAGTGCTGGTAATTTAAACTGGGAGTCATCCCCGAGTCGCCAGGCCAGAGGTTAGAGGGACATGTTCATGGCTTAAATTTATTGCCCTGGACTCTTCCAGCGGCTTCCTCTCCTCCTCCCCTCCTCTGGCTTTTGCCATTCATAGGCCGAGGGATCAAAGGCTCCCTCCTCTCTCCTGAGGGCAGCCTAGGAGGGCTGCGGAGGAGCTAATGGAAAGTTAAGAAGAAAACTCCGTGGCAGCTCCCTCAGAAAGTGGTGCTGGGCATGGCCTAGTTGTACAAGCACAGAGGTCAGAACGTTGGCTGTCAGACCTGCACAGGGGATATTCTGTGTCCTCACAACTATGTTTACATAGGTACTGTATTTGGCCCCAAGTCTGGCTCTCCAGATGTCCCTGCAAGGTCTGACTTGAGAGCTCAGACTTGAGACCTTTGACTCAGCCTAGATTCTCCCAGGACTCCAAACTAAAAGCTTTGGAGCTATCAAAATGCTACAGGGACCAAGACCTTGTGTGCAAAGGTACAAGATCCCAGTAATGAATGTAACTGTACTGTCTACCTAGAATGTATCAATAAATTCAATTTAAAAGAAAAAAAAATGCTACAGGTGCTCTAAGAGACCTCCCCCCCACAATTGAGGTGGACAATGAAGACAGAGCCAAATGTCTGTCTGCAACTAACAGTCCCATTTTATAGATTAAAAGACTGAGTCTCTGAAGTAATTCACTTGAGTTGGCAACACAGAGTGAATGACACTCCAGTCTCTTAGGTCCAGCGTGGCAAGCATTTGTTTCAAACCATTTGCCACAAGCTTCTTGGAGAGCCCTCCTCAGACGAACCGTAAAGTTATGGATGTTCCACCTGTATCCTGTGCTGTGGTTAACCAGAGTCTCTCCTGGTGGTAAGACAACTGCACCTTCCTTGGGCAAAGCCACCTAGAAAGGCAGAATGAGAGTGGGGGGATTTAGCTCAGTGGTTCTGCCTCCTGTCTCATAAATTCAATCCCTGATGAACACACACACACACACACACACACACACACATTCACGCACGCACACAGAATGGGAGCTGCTGGGGTGGGTCCTCTGCTCTTCTATACCTTTTTTGACTACAGGTGGAAAACCCAGCACTGCTCAGGCCACTCAGGGTCTGTGTGAGGGCTCCAGGGCTGGCTGCCTAGGATTTGGGAGAAGACTTCCAGGACTAGCAATGCACAGTAAGTGCCACTGTCACAAGTATCTGCTGACCTCCATTACCCAGGTGCTATTTTATGTCAATAAATTTCCTCACACAAATAGAAGCCTTCCCTCAAAGAAAGGGGTCTGTGTGGGACCCAATTTAACTCTGAAGTATCTGTCCTGTTAGCTCCAACTGCGCATAGGCAGAAGTGGACCCAAACACATAGCTCCATACCTTGTCCTTGTTTCCAAAGGCTTTGAAAGAGTGAGGGCTTTCTGTTTCTTTTTAAAACAAGTGAAAATCCAATTTGTTGGTTCGAGGGAAAGTTTTGTTTCCGTTTTAAATTTAAAAGCAAAATTATTGGTTGGCACTTAGGGGTTTCGTGATCAATAACCTGACCTGAAGAACCACCTCTTCAACTGACCACAGGGTCGATGGCACAGGATCCCCTGTGAATTCTTTGGTCCTGCTGCTGCTTCCTATTCTCCAGAGAAAGTGTAGACCTCAGAGTGGACCCCTGCAAGCGCGATGCACAGCTAACCTCAAACTGATCTGGAGGTTTCATAGTTTGGGGCAAAATGGGGCAGAGAGAACAAATAAAGAGGTTCTAAATAGACACTGGCCTGAACCCAATCCCCTGAAATGGTAATACGGTCGTTATTTAAAAAGTGTAGGTATTTTCTGGTGTCTTCCCATCAAGTACCTGCCTAATTTCTGTATGGCACACGCCAGAAATCAATAGAAGTTAACAAGTCCTCCAAACAGTAGCCATCTCTTTGTTTAATCTCCTTTACAATAAAGTCAAGGGGAGAGAATTAAAAATCTTTGAAGTAGACCAAGGCTCAAAGGAATCAGCCAAGTAGACTTAAAGTAGTCACTTATTTCCCAAAACTGGTTTGTCGGCGAACAATAAAAAGAAGTAAAATTTATGGAGAAATTATACAGTGGATTTGTCACTTAAAATATCGTAACTGTCTCGGGGACAATACCCCATGCTGAGGATTAATGGTCCCGCCGGACCTTTGATTCACCAGCGCCTTTTCTTCGCCCTTGACAAATTGGATTTTTAGGAATGGGAAGGTCGCCTAGACCATTGTGTGTTAGCCATTCAGAGGCCTCGATTATGCAGGGGGCTGAGGGAACCACTCCATGTGACCCTCTCGGGTGGGACTGTGCAGCTGCTTCGCAGCGCAACTCTCTCACCAAACTCCGCGCCCTTGCGCTCGCGATGCCAAAAGGCGCCCGCCCTGATTGAAAAGGCGCAGTGCATGCCCGTCCGCGTCACTCCGCGGGCGGAGAACGCACGTCGGGGCGCGGCTCCCTGGATCGCTGGAGGCTCGGGCGCTGACACTCTCGCCTTGCGGAGGACCCCGCGAGCCCCAGCGCCTGCCTGGCGGCAACGGCAACAATGCAAGGAGCCGCCCGCGCTCCGGCCACCAGCGTGAGTGCCGACTGCTGTATCCCGGCTGGCTTGCGCCTGGGGCCGGTGCCTGGCACCTTCAAGCTGGGCAAGTACCTGTCAGATCGCAGAGAGCCCGGGCCCAAGAAAAAGGTATTGGCCATTCCGACCTCCGACTCCCGCCGTGCTCCTCCCTTTGCCCCGACCCAGGGAAGCAGTAGAGAGGGAAGTGGAGGAAGGGTGACTGCGTTTTTACCTGCTGTTTCTGCCCAGTAGAAGGGAATTCCGATTATTCCTAGCAAGTTTCACTGAGAGCTGGACCGTGGGCTGGGCGGAGGGTTAAAGACGTGGCTGAGAGGAAGTAGCCCGCGACTGCGACTTGCCAAGCTTTCTGTACCGCGAATATTCGGAACTAGCGGTGGCCCCAGAGCTCTGGGGTGTTCTCAGTACGTGTCTGAGGATCCCCCGCCCCGTCCCCGTCCCCGTCCCCGTCCTTGTCTCTCTAGGCAGACGCATCCTTCCTGTAGGGGCACACACAGGGCATTGAGGACTTTTCTCCTTGTCTTCCTTATCTATGTTATTTTGAGGCTTAAATTTGTCTTTAAATAGTTTAATCCGAATTTTTCCAAAAAAGATCATCCGTGGGAGGTCCTCAGTTCCTGGAATCTCCCCAGGTTGATCTTTTCACCGGTTTGCCTGAGGATTTGGAGTCAGTGGAGACCAGATGGAGTCCCTGAAGCAGGCTCAAAGAGCACGGCGCACACCCTCGTGGGGCACGGGGTCCCTACGCCTGAAGCCGGGGCTTTGAGATATCGGGGTCCCAACCCGGCGACCCTCGGGGGAAACCTGCCGGCTCTGATTCCCCAAACAGCGTTACGGACCAGAGAGGGAACTTAAAGGCTCTCACCTGCCCTGAGGGCATCCCAGCGGAGCAGCAAACAGGAAATGGAGGCAGAAGGGCTGGGGGGCGGGCTTTGACTTTACCCTAACCAAAGATCTCTCGTAGCTCTGGGGTCCAGCCTTCGGGACCCGCGTCTCTCTGCTGTCGAAGTCAACTCTCTTGCCCCTACATCCAGGTCTAACTTCTTAAAATGCCTCGCCTGCCTCTTAGAACGTAATTTAATTTCTTCTGAAAGGCCGCTTAGCTGCGGGCAAAATTTCTTTGGATCCCCTTCGTTCCCAGAATTTTACTCGCTTACACCTAGGTGCGGTGCTGAGAGAACTGGGAGAAGCGGGGAATGGGGGATGGAGAAAGGACAACGGATTGATTTTCAAAGGGCTCTCTCTTCCTGTCGGGGATGCTTTCAGATTAGCAAGGAGAGAGGCGGGATGGGGTAGGAAACGTCTCGGTAGGAGGCGCCCCCAGTCTCTCCCAGTGTGGCAGAGGTGGTGGTGGAGAGGTTGTACCGGCCAGCCACCTTCTGCCTCCATCCTCCACGCTAGTGCCCCCAGGAATAACCCTCTTCCCTGCAGCCCGTGACAGTCTGGTCAAAGGGGACACGAAGATTTTCATGAGTCGGGTGGAGTGGAGGAGAATCTTTCTTTCCTGGGTGTGGGCCTCGTCTTGGTGCGGGAGGGAACCACAGCTGCTTGTATTGCAGGTGCGCATGGTGAGAGGGGAGCTGGTGGACGAGTCGGGGGGCTCCCCTCCGGATTGGATAGGGTTAATCCGGGCAGCCAGGAGTCCGCAGGAACAGACTCTGGAAGCGATCGCAGACTTACCCGGAGGACAGGTACTGTGGGCTCTCCCCGCCCCCACCCCTGCCAATTCTATTTACATAACCGTCCCTAGGGTGGCCAATAATATTAAGAACAAAGCACGTTAGTTACAGGTGTGATTTAAGGGCCTCGCTACCCGGTACGGTAGATGCTACTGTACTGTTTTCCCCATTTGAAGAATGAAGGGAATGAGGCTCACAGAGATTCTGTAGCTGCTCCAGGGCCACGAACTATCCTCAGAGTAGGCATGTGCACCTTTCTTCCGACGACCCAGGAAATGACAGAGAGCTTTCTTATTGCTTGCGTCCCAGATTTTCTACCGAGCATTGAGAGATGTCCAGCCAGGGGAGGAGCTGACCGTGTGGTATTCCAACTCCTTGGCTCAGTGGTTCGACATTCCCACAACTGCGACCCCCACGCACGACGAGAAAGGTACCGCCTCCCAGGAGGCCTCCAGGCCTGCGTGGGTGGGCCAGACTCCAGCCCTCCTCCTGTCCTAGGTCTTGGGGGAGTGTGTCCCCACATTTTAAGAGCTTTTCTTTTCAGCTGTGTAAAACTGAATTCATGCTCCCTTCTTAGGCACAGAGAGCACCTGCCACTATCCCCTTAACATCAACAGTAATTGGTTAAAAAGAAAAAGTGACAGTAGAAATCTTCCTTATGATGGTCGGGGAAAATAACTCTTCTTGAATGTCATAGGATCATCCTTTCCTATCACACATCCCAAATGACAGCTGTTTACTCAGTCAATTAATAAAGGGGCCTTAAAATATTGTTATAGTAATTACATGGGTTCCAGAGAGAACAACTCAACCCTCAAATGCTTTTATAAGATGGGAAAGTGTCTCTTTACTGGTTTTGAGGACAGTAGTGTATTGGAACAGCATTTTAGAAGTATTACGGCACTCACAGCTGGACAGTTGGCAGGTACTAAGGTTCTTCCTGCTAAATGGTATTTATTCATTTCTCCCTCCCTACTTAAATTGAATCTGGGATGTATCCCAGTTTCTTCTCAGATTTATTTGATCCCTTGAAAGCCAAGAGTGGATTTATGCAAATTAAGGTGCAGCAACTAAAGAGAAAAACATTTTCAAGCCTTCCCTAGAATGCTAAGAACACTTCCATGGAAAGAAGGCTGGGAGGTGCTAAAATATTTAAACTCTTGAGTCTGCCTTTTCAGATGCAAAGCTTCTGCAGCTTTTTTCCTCCTTATCAATTATTTTAGTTTGTCCGTAACTTCTTATAAAGGCTCACTTATTTAGAGTCACAATAATGAATGCAGTAAAGTATCTTTAATATGATCTTTTCCAGAATTGCTGCTTAATTTTTTCCTTTAGAAAAAAGTACCAAAAAGCCTAGCATGGTGGCGCAGGCCTGTAATCCCAGCACTTGGGAGGCTGGGGCAGGAGGATCTCTATGAGTTCGAGACCAGCCTGGGCTACATAGTGATTTCCAGGTCAGACTCAATTACATAGTGAGATCCTGTCTCAACCCCCCCCAAAAAAAGAAAAGGTACCAAGAAATTAATAAGTATAAATATATGGGAATTAGGAAACACTATGAATAAGAATGAAGTTTATTCAGAATGATGAATCACTTCACTTCAAAATATCTCTGTCCTCTGTAAATTAATTCTATTTGTCAAGATTTAAATGCACAATATCCATGAAAATTATCCTCATGTAATTTGCTCCTTGCATGACATTATCACATTTTCTTATTAACCTCTTCTAATAAAAGAGAAATATAACAGCCTCAATTTGGTGAACTTTCAAATCTGCCAGTATGGACCAGTTTGGGGGCTATTGGCCTACAGGGTCAGCCATTTCTACACAGAACCCCTTTCCTTAGGCACTTCCAAGGAGTACAAAAGCAACTTGTCTCAGCAGTGGCCCTTGTGTTTTTATTTCAGCCAACTGAATTTATTAACATCATATGGTAAGATGAAAAAACACCACCATTTTCCTTTTGGGAAAAGTATAGCTTACTGTGAATCTGCAGTCTTTTGCTTAGAGATGCTTGAAATCTTGACTATTTTAGGGTCACATGAAAGAGAGAAGGCAAAGTCACAAAGTGTTTCATATACTTGGCATGAGCTGGATCTCAGTTCATAGAATGTATTGATTAGAATGAACTGAAAGAGATGTATTGAATTGGGAAATACACAGTTTGCTTAAATCTTGGCAGGAGGATGAAATAAGAAGGCTTCTATTCTTCCAATAGTGGCTAACTTTAATGGGTTTCCATTTTATTATAAGATTAAGAAAATTAGTGCCCCTTTGTTATAAGAACAAAGATTCCTAGGCTTTGCATTGGCTGAGTCATTCTAGGGCAGACTAGAAACTGTGTAAAAAGAGGTGATAACTAGGTGGTTCTGAATTTAGGAGAAGGGATGTTAAGATATTAAATCAATATAGTCACCAGGAGGTTGCCTCTTTCTTTCAAGATTTGCTTTTCATAAATGTTTAGTAGAAGGAATATTGAGATAGCTTCTAGAAACAATTAGGATATTGTCTCATATGCAAGGCATCTTCTTTTCTTCCTGGTTTCCATTGGTCTGTGTTGGAACAAAGTGCTTCTTACTCAAACTTTTATCTTTGTTATCTAGAGTAGCTACTTGCTTTATGCAAAACCAAAAGCCAATATACCTGAAGGACAGGAAATCTGGGTTTCTCTCATTGGTTATTTGGGTAGTAATGTTTAAAAAGTTTGAACTGCTTGTGTATAAGGAGGGAGAATTTTACTATTCCGTTAAAATTTGAAGAGATTGACATATAGTTTGGATACTTCCTTATGGCTCAACTAACTTCTTTCTCATAGGTATCTTTTCCTTCAACATTGTCAGTGAACCACATTAAAAAATAACCCTAATTGCAAGGTAACTTTTTTATGTACAGAAATAACATGATTTTTTGAGTGAAAAATTAACTTTTGCCATTTAACCATAATGTGTTTCTAGACTGTGTTCATAGGCTCTGGTAAAATTAAAAACAATGCTAACAATACAAAACCACACACAGATTTGATTTGACACCAAACGTGTGCACACACGCGTGCACACACACACACACACACACACACACACATATATATATATATATATGGTATCTGGTAGATAATTCTGCACTTATTAAAAGCTGAGTTATCTACTTCTAGATATTTATTCCACATACACACACATACATATATATATATGTGCATTTATGGAATAAAACACAAGCTAATATATCTTCACCAAGGACTCAAGGACTTTTACTAAGTTGGATTTGTGCAGTTATCTAGGAGTTATTAATTAGCAGCTGGGACAACTGACAAGACAATGCAACATCACCCTTCTTAGAATATTATCATCCTTTCCAGAATTTTTCCTCCCATCAAATTAAATGGGGTTAAAGAGGAAATAAAGATACAAATAATTTTGAAGAATAGCAAATCATAGTCCCTATGTGGTCCTTCAGTTGGTCACGCTCCGGGAAAACCTCAGGCAAAGTGTTTAGGGCTGGGAGGGGGTAGAGGGAGTGGGCAGTGGACACAAAAGACATTGTTCTATGAAAAGGAATGATTACATATGGCCCATACATACAGGATATTGTCTCTCCTGGTAATGAGGCACTCACGACTATTAGATTGGCCTTTGTTCAGTTTATCCAAACTCCTTGACATACGCCACCTATTCTGCAAACACCAACAGATGGGCCCAGGCACAGCACAGCCTCAACACTTGATTTAAAGCAACAGCTGCTCTCTGCTCTTGCCCAGCTAGCCTGCCTGAGCACAGCCCTTCCAAGGGAGATTTGTTCCGACAGCCTGGAGGAGGTATTTGTTGGAAAGGCCCAGGTCACAGCTCCTGCCCTCTTAGAATTCTTAGAGAATGGAGCAAGTGACAAGAGTTGGCCATTTGGGATTTTTCGAGGTTCTTGATACAGTGGAGTTACAAGCTCATCTATTCATCAGGCCCCAAGAATTTGTACTCCTGAGACTACCATACCGCTGGTCAAAACCTGAGCTTTTCTTTGGGTGCTCTGGCACTTTTTCTGTCTTGCTTGTCAGCCTTCTCACGGGTCGCTTTCCCACTTTTTTTGTCCAGGCGAGGAGCGCTACATTTGCTGGTACTGCTGGAGGACGTTTAGATACCCCAACAGCCTTAAGGCACACCTACGTTTCCACTGCGTCCTCAGTGGCGGCGGGGGTCGCGCCTTCCTGCACCATCAGCACTCGGCTCGCCAAGGCGCTGCCCAGGCGCCAGCGGATGGCTTCAGCCTCTCCCCGAAACCTAATGCGCCAGACTTCTCCGCGCCCGCCCAAACAGGCACTTTGCGGCCCCAAACACAGGCTCCGCAACCTCCCCAGGCCTGCGGCGTTCGGGAGAGCATTAAGCGCGAGGCCTCCTCTGCGCCCTCAGCCTCCTCGCCGTCCCCAGCCAAGTGGGGGCTGCCAAAAAAGGGCAAGGAGCAGCAAGACCCTGTCCTGGACGTGAGCGGGGCAGCCCGAGCACACAGCCACTTCCTCGGCATCATGGGCGGCTCCCCAGCTGGCGGCGGCGGCCTGACCTTCTACCCCGGGGTGCGTTCGGCTTTCAAACCTGCAGGCTTGGCCAGGGCAGCGGTGGCCGCGCATGGAGACCCCTACCGGGAGGAGGGCAGCGGCAAGCAG